AAACCCTATGACTGTAGTTAGTCAATGTGAAAAAACTTTCACCCAGGGGAACCAGCAGTTAGCGTAATGGCTATGTCCCTGGACTCCCACGTAGTCGACGCGGTTCGCGTCCCCAACCCAGTGGCTTAAAACTCAAGCTTGGCGCGTGTGCGTGCGTGCCCAAGATCCCGAGAGGAGAATGAAGGAGAAGGGATTGTGGTGTGGCCATCCTCCCTGGGGGGTGATTTCTCATTTTCTGTCTCTATGTTTCTCTCTGTCTGTCTGGCGAGTGCACGCGTCCTATAGCGAAACCTCTCCAAAAAAAACCCAACAAAACAAAACAAAAAAAGGAGTAGAGAAAAAACTTTTACCCCAAAGTCACACCTGACTATTCATCAGAGGTCTCATAGTGGAGAGAAAACTTACCACAAAGCCTTCAGCTAGAAGTCCTATCTGCTTATTCACCAGAATATCCACTTAGGAGAAAAACCTTATGAATATCTCAAATGTGGGAAAACTTCCTCTCACAAGTTTAGTCTTGTTATTCACCAGAGAATCCATACAGGAGAGAAAAACCCTATGGATACAGCAAATGTGGAAAACGTTTTCCATCCAGTTCAGCCTTGCTTTATATCAGAAAACACATACTGAGGAGAAAGCCCAAGAATGTATTCAGTGTCAGAAATCTTTTGCTCAGAAGTCACATCTTATTGTCCATCGAAGAACTCACACAGGTGAGAAACCTTATGGATGTAGTGAGTGTTGGAAAGCTTTCTCCCACATATTCACCCTCATTCTACATTAGAAAACTCTTGGAGGGGATAAATGAATGAAATTGATATCTAAACCTTGTCATTGAAAGGGCATAGCTCATATACCACTGAGTTTGCAGAGAGTAACAGCTAAAGACTACAGCTTGAGGTTGTAGATAACCTTTCATTCCAAACATGCATGCCATTTGCTGTCAGAAAATGCTGTTGGATAGAATGCCAGTCAATGTTTAATATCTTTTCTGATAAATACCAATTGAATGTAGTCCACCCAGACAGAGTCAACAAACAGGAGGCAATATCTATGTATACATTGACTATGGGTATATTGTGAGCATGAAATTCAGCTACATTGATATCAGAGAATTAACATAAAGGAAAAAAATTCTATGCTTTAATTAATCTGGGGAGTTGTGCTTTCATGAGTACCACTTTATGGAAGAAGTCATTTTTCAGCCTTTATGATGTAATAGGCAGCATTATAGAAAGTATTAAATAATACATTTATCAGAAACAAAGCAAAAAATATATCAGAATAATATCCAACTATGTAAGCATTTTATACCTTTTTATTATAAAAATGAGTTGCGTGGGTTAGTATAAATGTGCCTACACTTTGTTGTACATAAAACCTTCAAATAGACTATTTGCATTAGATATTTGTATCATTTACAATGCTATAAAAATTTTAAGTGGCCTACAATGGCTCATTGTTTTAGTAAGACATCTCAATAAAATACTATGTACTTTTTTGACCCCTACACTTTGCTGGTATTTGTAAATGGGTCTGAGATATTTTGAGTTTTCTTGAGTAAAATTTTATTTCATAAAAAGAAAGAAAGAAAAAGAAAACAGATAACAGGAGTAAAATAAATTTTCCCTTCTAGAAAATTGCTTTGGTGATTTTAGTTTCTTATACAATGTCATAAATTTTAGATTCACTTTGTTTATTTCTATTAAAAAGAAAGCCCACTGGGATATTGACTAGTGTGATGTTCAGTGTAGAAAATAATCAAGAGGTAACTGTTATCTTATAAATACTGCATCTTCATATCCATGAGCATAGTCTCTCTGCTCTCTATTTCTCTTCTCTCATGTATCTTTGTATCTCTGTTTCTCTCATCTTTGTATTTATTATATTTATTCTGGGTCTCAGGAAGTGGAAAATAGCAATACTAGAGGCATGCTTAACTCTTAAAAAGTGGTACTCAGGTGTGACATATATTTCCATTTGTATTACATTAAACAAAGTAAGCCACAGTTTCAAGGCTCTAATAAAGTGAGAGCTAAATTCCTTTCACAGCATAAGAAGATCACTGAAGGGATGAACCATATGAGAAAAAAAAGCTAATTTTAATTGTTTTTTTTTTTTTTTTTTTTTTTAAGAAAGATTTCTTTTTCTTTCTTTCTTTTTTCTTTTTTTCTTTTTTTTTTTGGAGACGTTTTTGCTATAGGGTGTGTGCACTCACCAGACAGACAGACAGAAAGTGAGAAATCACCCCCCCAGGGAGGATGGCCATGCCGCAATCCCTTCTCCTCCGTTTTCTTCTTGAGATCTTGGGCACATGCACACACGCGCCCAGCATGAGTTTAAGCCACTGGGTCCGGGACGTGAACTGCGGTCGACTACATGGGAGTCCAGCGACATAGCCATTATGCTAACTGTTGGTCCCCTAGAAAGATTTTTTACTATGGGGTACACGTGTTCACTAGAGACAAAGATAAATAGAGAGACAAGTGAGAAATCACTCCTGGGGGGTTGTCATGCCGCAATTCCTTCTCCTCCATTCTTCTTCTGGGATTTTGGACATGCACACACACATACCCAGCATGAGTTTGAAGCCACCAGGTCTGGGACTCAAACCATGTTGGCCAAGTGGGAGTCCAGTGATGTAACATTTATGCCATCTGCTGATCCCACCAATTTTAATTTTTTTTTTTTTTGAGAGAGATTTTTGCTATAGGGCGTGTGCGCTCGTCAGACAGACAGAGACATAGAGACAGAAAGCGAGAAATCACCCCTCAGAGGGGATGGCCACGCTGCAATCCCTTCTCCCTCATTCTCTTCTCAGGATCTTGGGCACGCACGCACACGCACCCGGAGTGAGTTTTAAGCCACCGGGTCCGGGACGCAAACCACGGTCAACTACATGGGAGTCCAGCGACATAGCCATTACGCTAACTGCTGGTTCCCCTACCAATTTTAATTTTAAAAAATGCAGTCTAACACATTTACTTCCATGAATAATAATCATATTGTTAGTAGTCAATAAATAAAAATATTCATAACCATTATTACCTGAAAATCATATTTTATTGATTAAAATCACATCACCTTAGTCAAAAATATTTCTTTATACCTATTTCATTAATAATTTCCTGCTTTAAATGTATCCTTTCTCTGTACCATCTGAATAAATTCTTACAAAATACTCCTTTTAAATTATTATAATCCTGCTATGATCTTACAATGGCCCCTTGTTGTCTTTTATATCAAGTTAAATTTTTAGAAAGTCCTTCTTGTTCTGTCAAATCACTAACTAAAAATTTTGCTCCACTGCAAGTAAGTTGCACTGTTTATCTTGTGCAAACTTTTGCTCCTGGCAATCAAAATTTCAGCTTTTATTCTAGGTCAAGTTCATGGCATATCTCCTGCAAGAGCACTTTCTTGATTGATCCAGCACATTATCAACCTCCCTTTAGCTAAAATCCAGTTCACTCATGGTCTCTGAGAACTGATTGAGAATTAGACTTATTTGGTTGCATTCTTCAATAATTGTTTTGTTTATGAATACTCAATAACTTCAAAGAAGTCTAAATTGAAACTCACAGAGGTGAGTGTTTTTGGATTTTATTCTCATTACCTCTAGTGCAAGGTTAGAGGACCAAAGTGCTTATTGAATTGGTTGGCTTGATACTTCCTGTTGCATTTTGAAATGATGGCTTTTCCAACTTCCATTCCCCAACTACTCAGGTCCAGGTGAAAACAATTGATGTAAATTCCCACAAGATTCTTGACTTTTATTTCCTACGTGAACTCAGTGCCATCTTTGTTGTTTAATAAATCCCACTGCAAGAAGATTTCCTGGTCAATTCCCAAGTCCCTACAACACCCATTTTATCTACAGCTGCTAAACAACTAATGATTCAACTAGGCCATTTATTTGTATTTAAGATGACCTCCTATGTTCTCTCTCGGAAGCCCACTTAATGCTTTGAAAGTTTAAAGCCCTGATTTTGCTATTCGTCTGGTAAGTAAAAGTATTTTACAAATTATTTCTACTAAGAGATTTTTAACATTTGCCTTTCACGTTCTGATCTCCTAACCACTGTTCCATGGTGCTGAGATCAATAAGACATCATATGTTGATCTATATGAAGGGAGAATTCAAACAGAGTGGGTTGAAAAGATCAATTTTTTTATTTTTTTCCCATAAGAGGAATATGATATATTCCTTAGGAGGCAAGGAAAACATTTTATATTTGGAATATAACTATTTAGGGTAAAGTCTTTTTTTTTTTTTTTTTTTTTAGGAAAAAAAAAAAGTAAAGAAAGAATTGTGACCAAAAAAGTTAAATGGCTTTCTTTTGATTGTACGATTCTATTGTAACAAAGCTGATAATAACTAAGTCTTCAACCACTGGCTGAATATAAGAAAAAAAAATTTCCATCTATTTCTTTGTGAATTTGTTGACAATTTTTCTCTGAAAATTTGTAAGAATTCTATGGCTGTTTATTGAAGCCTCATTAGACTGTTGCTTAAGAAGCTTTATGTGTAGTATAGTTTTTATGTATTTTCCCATAAAGATATCTTTATGAATGAATGTACATGTATATATGTACATGTATATGTGTGTATGTGTGCATGTGCACGTGTGTGTATGTGTGCTCACCACATTATCACCATAAAGTGCTTACCAGGTGTTGGTTGTAATCTTTAGGACTATGTAGATGGATGAATGGACACAGGTGGGTGGTTCTGTTAAGAATGGTATTTTCTCAATTTGAGTGTTAATTTAATAAATGATTTAAGACATATATTTCTAAGATCTGTAGTATTCTACAATTCTTTTTCAAATCAATGTACCAAGTGAAAAAGATGAAAAAAAAGTAAAGATGTTTTCATAAAGAAAACAAAGTTTAGAAGAGTAGACTTTTAAAAATGGATCTTATGCTTCAATTGGATCATATTTTTCTTAGCTTTTGTTTGTTTGTTTTTTGATACAGGCTCCTATCTATGAATCAAGACAATGGAGATAGCCAATAAGTCTACTGTGTCTGAATTTGTTTTGCTGGGGCTCTCTAACTCCTGGGAACTACAGATGTTTTTCTTTATGGTATTTTCACTGTTTTATGTGGCAACAATGGTGGGAAATAGCCTCATAGTCATCACGGTGATAGCTGATGCTCACCTGCACTCGCCTATGTATTTCTTGCTTGCCAACCTTTCCATCATTGATATGTCTCTTGCCTCCTTTGCCACCCCCAAGATGATTACAGACTACCTAACTGGTCACAAAACCATCTCTTTTGATGGCTGCATCACTCAGATATTCTTTCTACACCTTTTCACTGGTGCTGAAATTATTTTACTCATGGCCATGTCCTTTGACAGGTATATTGCAATATGTAAGCCCCTGCACTATGCTTCCATCATCAGCCCCTGGGTGTGTGTTGCTCTTGTTGTAGCTTCCTGGGTTGTGGGAATCATGCATTCAATGAGTCAGGTCATCTTTGCCCTCACATTACCGTTCTGTGGTCCCAACCAGGTAGACAGTTTTTTCTGTGACCTTCCTGTGGTATTTCAGCTGGCTTGCGTGGATACTTATGTTCTAGGTCTTTTTATGATCTCGACAAGTGGCATAATTGCTTTATTCTGCTTTATTCTTTTATTCAATTCATATGTTATTGTCCTGGTCACCATCAAGCATTATTCTTCCCAGGGTGGATCTTCTAAGGCCCTTTCTACCTGTACAGCTCATTTCATTGTGGTCTTCATGTTCTTTGGGCCCTGCATCTTCATCTACATGTGGCCACAAAGCAGTTTCCTGATAGAGAAGATCCTGTCTGTGTTTTATACCATCTTTACTCCCATTCTGAACCCAGTAATCTATACCTTGAGAAATCAAGAAGTAAAGACAGCCATGAGGAAACTGAAGAATAGGTTTCTAAATTCCAGGAAGACAATTCCTTCTCATTATTTTTAATTTTAACTTTTAGTTACTTTCTAGTTTAATGTTCTTTAAGTGTCACAGTTTTTACAGCACACAGTATTGGTCACAGTGCTGTGCCAACTCTTCTTTCTGGAGTTATTATCAAAATGTAATTGCCAAGAATTTGTAAGGGCATGATATCAGTGCATTTTAAAACAATTTTCATACAAGTGTTCAAAATATATTTGAAATTCCAGAGAAGTAAGTTAATAACTAGGATTATTTGTTTAAAAAGGACTATTTATTAAAGATATTAGGAATGACTGCCCCAGTTAAGACATCAATATTAACAGTCAGTTCACTAGAAAAGAGGAACAAAATTTGAGAAGAGGAAATACAGCTTAAAGGAGAACGAGGAGGTAATGACAACCATATATCATTAGCAACTGAATTACTCAGTGAGTTTTACCTGAAGTATGACAAACTAGCAATATTTCCACAAACCTCAGGAACTCCATATGCTGTCGGAGCTTCTCCTTTGACAGAAATCAGTAATTTTCTACCTACTTCCATGAATCATGCCATTTATCACTTCAACAATTTTCAATCTCTTTATTAAAGTAAATTCTGAATGTATTTTATTACAACTGTTGATGAAGTTCAAAGAAAATGCTGTAAGTGCAGAGGTCTCCATCAACTCCTTTTAGCTAATTAGGAGTGAGATGCAGCCATGATATCTTCTTCTGCAAATGCAAAATGAGTAGAGAGGCCAAAGAATTGTGCAAATCAGAAAATATTATGAAATGAGGTGCAAGGCAGTACACTTTGTTTCATGTAGACAGTTTTAGCTAAAATTAAATTTAAAAGATGCAGTTATGATAAATGAATTTATAGAGGTCATGATTTTATTTTAAAGTGTGTATTGCTTTTTATTTTTGTCAAATTATTCTTTTCTTTTAATATTTGGTTGCAAAATAATAAATTTATACTTAATACCTTTTTATATAGTAAATACCTTTTTGTACACAAATACATTTTGTTACTGTTACAAATAAAAACTTTAGGTATAGTATTAGCCTTAATATACACAAGCCAACCAGCTGGTATGGTGGTTAAGGTGCCTGGGTTCCACATGGCTAACTATGGGGTTGGAGACCCTGCAGCTTGAAAAACATACAGGAGAAGGCACATGCATACATGTGTGCCCAAAATTTCAAGAGGAGACTGGAGGAGAAGAGATTGTGTTGTGCTCATCTCTTCCTGGTATAAGGGGTGCTTCTCGCTTTCCTTCTCTTTCTCTCAGGTCCTATGCAACTTATAGCACATTAAAAAAATAATAAATAAATAAACAAGATATTACTACCACCTTCTGGCAATAAGTGGAATTGCAAGTATTCAAAGTCAAAAAAATAATTCTAGTACCTTGCTTTGCAAATTGTCTTCTTTAAATAATGATAAATTTTAAAGAATTAACTGACAGTTAGAACTTACTAAAGGATATTTATGAAATACATCGCCATGAATATGACCCAACAATATCCACAAAAGGAATAATATGTAACCAGTGTTTGATGTATCAAGTTCTTCTTTTCTGTCATGATTAAGAAAATGGAGTGCACTCAGAATGATATATGCATTAATTATTATTTATGAGATGTAATTAAGAAAATAAAATTCCCGACTTTTCATTTTGAGCCAAGTTATAAGAGGATTGTTCTTTTCTTCATCAATGTGTATGGTTTTAGTATTTTCTTCATTAATGTATTTAATTAAATAAGTGAATGAATTCATAGGTTGGAAGTGTGTGATTGTCTTTAAAACCTAGGCAGCTTTGAAATTGTAAGATAACATGTCTAGAGTATTTACACAAGAATAAAATGTTTGCATCACCAAAATATAAGCATAATCATAATTTAACTAGGGATACAAGTGAACCAATTTAAGTTATGTGTGTGAATTTTTTTTGGGTTGCAGCTACGTAGGCAAAAAGATCATACTTAAACCTCATTTACATAAAATATTTTAGTTGACGTTTTTGAAATAACCCAAATAATTATTTCACATAACGTATTTATTTGTCTAGGGAACATTTTCAAAATTTAACTAATTTTTTGTTTTTTGTTTCTTTTGTGGGTTTTTTGGAGAGGTTTTTGCTATAGGGTATATGTGCTCGTGAGAAAGACAGAGACAGAGAGACAGAAAGTGGGAAATCACCCCTCAGGGAGGATGGCCATGCCACAATCCCTTCTCCTCCATTCTCCTCTTAAGAACTTGGGCATGCACGCACATGCACCTGGCATGAGTTTAAGCCACTGGGTCTGAGACTCGAACTGGTCGACTACATGGGAGTCCAGCAACATAGTCATTACGCTAACTGTAGGCCCCCAAAATTGAACTACTTTTACAATATAAAACCATGGAGTGTTTTGGAAGAAATACCATTAGTCTCCAGTGGTTTGGTTTCTCTGGAACCTCAGTGTGAGGAGTTGGCACTCTAGAAATGCACTATAATATACAATGAACTAATATGCAGCTATTAAAAAGAATGAACTCCCACCATTTGGGGTAATGTGAATAAGCCTGGAGGACATTGTATTAAGTAAAATAAGCCAGGCACAGAAAGAGAAAAATCACTTTTTTTTTTTGTTGTTGAGATTTTTGCTATAAGGCATGTGCACTTTACAGAGAGACCGAGATAGAAAATGAGAAATCATTTCCTGGGGGAATGGACATGCCACAATCCCTTCTCCGTTCTTCTCTTGGGATTTTTGGGCATGCACAAACACACTCCCAGTGTGAGTTTGAAGCTGCTGGGCCTGGGACTTGGACCGTGATTGACTATGTGGGAGTCCAGTGATATAACCATTAGACCATCTGCTAGTCTCCTCACATGTTTTCATATGTGAAAATGAAAGTGTTATTTTCATGGAAGTAGATAATAGAAGAGTGCTTCCAGAGGCTGGAAAGGGTAGGTAGATGGGTGAAAAAGATGGTTTAATAGATACAAAACTACAATTAGATAAGAGGAAGAAGTTCTAGTGTTCTATTTCAAAATAGGGTAACAGTAGTTAACAGTATTTTACTGTGTATATCAAAATAGCCAAAAAAAAAAAATTTTGAGTGTTCCTAACACAAAATAATAGTGTGTTTAGGAAGATGACTATGAGACTTACTCCAATTTGATTATTCCATATTGTATTTATACATTTAAAATATCACTCACACTGTACCTCATAAATATGTAAAATTACATGTCAATAAAATATGATAATAAAATATCGAGGATACTCCCACATATAACACTTAAGTGTATTCATCAGAACTTATGGCGTATCATTTTATCACCTTGTCTCCTTCATAAGCTGTTGATGCTCTTTTACCAAGGCTTGGAAAGAGATGTGACTCCTTAAGCAGTAGTAAGGATGGTGTAATTTGAAACCAAAGCATCCCAAAGCAGAAATGATGTTTTACAAAGCATGATAGATGAACAGAAACCAGGAGCTGGATAGCTTTACACAGTCTGCACTATTTTCAATAATAATTGTGGGAATATGAAGACTTGAAGGATTCCTCAGAAGACTCTTTTGACAAATAACTTCATCTTCCTTCAGGTGTTTGGGTCACCATGAAGCTTGGTGATACCAAACCTATGAGTTTTAATTTTTGATTTATCTTTTTCTTTTTTTAAGTTTTTTGACATAGGTCACATGTGCTCTCTGGGGAGAAACAAAGAGAGAAAATGTGGGAAATCACTTTCTGAGATGGATGACCATGCCACAATCCCGTCTCCTCCATTCTTCTCTAGGAAGAATGGACACACACACACACACACACACACACAGACACACACCTGTCTGGCATAATTTGCAAGCCACCAAGACCGGGACTTGAATTGTGGTTGGCCATGTGGGAGTCTAGAACCTTAAACACCATATCACCTTCTGGTCCTTAGTTTAAGAATTAAAAAAATAATAATTGTAAAAAGTCTTGTAAAATTAAGCCAAATAATTTAATGCAAGTGGAAAAATTTTTTCTTAAAAAAATCAGGTACATATGAAGAGAGATGTGTAAGATTACAATGTAAATTGTAATATGTGAAGGAATTGGATATTGGTAATGGCAATAAAAACCATACATTACATTTGCTTCTAAAAATGTTTAAGGAAAATAACAGAATACTACATAGCATAATGATAATGATCATAAGTTTTAGACTTCCTCTTTTTTTTTTATAGTTTATTTTTTATTATAATTTTTTTTTTCCCATCGCAACACACAAATGAATTTTCCATCCAATATATACTGTGCGTTGGTTCAATCAAGCACGTCAACATATATGTTCTCAGCAAATAATTTCCCAATTCTTGTGTCCTGCATACCTTGCCTTTTGTTTTACCATCCTAGATTCCCCATCCCCCTCCCTCTGTTGTGACCCATCCTCCTCCCACATTGTCCCTGTCATCCCTGATTGCCCTCCGTGCCTCACCCCTCCCCAAATGATCTGTCAGTCATCTTAATTAGTCTAAGTCTCTCCAATAGTTATCACAGCTGACACATGCCTCTACATGAACTCAAGTCTGACTTTAGGCCTAAACCCCATTGGGTAAAAAGAGCATACTATAAAGTAGAACCCAACTGGGCCCATACCGCTCACTGCAGCCATCAAATATCCATTTTTTTTAAAAATGGTACGAATAGTTTTACCGTTTTTTTTATTTGTTTTTTGTTTTCGTTTTTTTTTTCCTAACATTCATTCCCTGAGCATCATCACAGCGTACTAAATGTAATCTCCCATCTAGAATAAACTGCACAGTGACCCAATCAAGCATGTTATCATCAATAATATTCCACTTCTACTTTCTTGCTTATGCACATATATATGTTTTTTTCCCTCTTCCTCTTTTTTTTAATTTTTTTTTTTATTTTTCCTATGTTTGTCCCTCTGCCCTGTCTCACTCTCCCATTACAATATCCCTGCTATATACAGTTGTCTTCCAGAAGAGTTACTGAAAAAGTGATACATACAAGTAAAGGGAGAGAGGCCACAAGTTCCAACCATCAGCTCATAAAGTTTTTGGTAATAGGGAGCATAAACTCCACTCAGGGTTGGATAAGGAAGGGTCTCCGGCAGATCCACAAGTGTAGGTGAGTCTCCAAGGAATGCAGTTTCAGGAAAGCAGTTCTGGTACACAGGGATAATTATCAGCTGATGCGGCACAGCAGTCATCTTGTAGTTACCAGGAATGGTGTTGTGGGGGTCTGCAGTGTGAGTTGTCCTTGGGTATCTGGCTTCCTTAAAAATGGCAGAGTAGTTCTTGTTTTCCCCTGAGGTAATGCAGGGCTGGTAACTATCATCTTCTTAAGTTGCAAGTTCTTCAACCTTGTTTTCGGCCTCCGGGCCATCCCGGGCCAGAGAGGCAGGGAGGGGCAGGGAGGCCCGTGAGCCCCCCTCTGGCCGCGTGGGGGGCGCCGGCCAGGCCGTTCCCGGCGCGCGGCTGCGCTGGGGGGGGCTAGACTTCCTCTTTTCATGGGTTTACTCCAAGGCTCTGGATAGGCACTAACAATCTTTCATTAACAGTTAATTCATTGTTTAGTTTATGAAAAAAATCAGAGAGAAAAGTCAGTTGAGTTAGACCAGCAACTATACAGGAAGAATATCAAATCATAATCCAAGTCATTTTTCCAGTCTTATTTAGACGTTGGTTTAACTGCAAGACCAAATATGTGCTAGAGTATCATGTTTGAATTTTTACTTTGTTATTTACAACTTCCAATAAAGGAAGAAGATATATACTCATTTACATTTGTTATTATCTCTTTATTTTGTTATTTATTCATATATTTATGACTTTTTACTTTGCTGGAGGGTGTATGCATTTGCCAGAGATAGAGTAAGCACCCCTTAATGGGGTGTGATGTGTGCCATGAACCACACTTCCCAAACCTTCACTCGCGCCAGTACCAGCCTTCCCCTGAACTATGAGATGCTCAGGGAAGAGCATGAGGTGCATGTGCCTGGGGAGCTCTCGCCCGTGTCTCCGATGGGACCAACCGTGATCAACATCCACAGCAAGACCTCGGTGCCCGGCCACGTGGTCTGGTCCCTGTTCAACATGGTTTTCATGAACTTCTGGTGCCTGGGCTTCATCGCGTTCGCCTACTCCGTGAAGTCTATGGACAGGAAGATTGTGGGCGACGTGATCCCGGCTCAGGCCTACGCCTCCACCGCCAAGTGCCTGAACATCTGCACCCTGGTCCTTGACATCCTAATGGTCACTGCCATCATCATTTGTTTCCTTATCGAACCAGCAATAATCCACCAAATGGTTTCAGAGATGAAAAAATATTTCGAGGGCTTCCAGTAGCTGCTTATGGTCCCTGCGCGTGGCCTCCCCTCCACACTCCTGCACTCTCTACTGCCCCGCATCCTGCTCTGTTTACATGGTAGGTTACACTCCTGTGTTTGTCTACAATGGGATTCAATAAAGTGCATGTGTGGGTGAAACAAACAAACAAACAAAAACAAAAACAAAAAACAGCATTGTATTGGCACAAAAACAGACAAGTGGACCAATGGAACAGAATAGAGAAATAAACCTCAAAACATACAGCCAACTGATTTTTGGCAAAGGATACCTGTCAATCCAGTGAGAAAATGAAAATCTCTTTAGAAAATGGTGCTGGTAAAACTGGGTATCCACCTGCAGAAAGATAAGCCTGGACCCCTATCTCTCACCATTAACAAAAATAAACTCAAAGTGCATCAAATATCTAAACCTAAGACCTCAAACTATAAAACTACTAGTGGAAAACACTGGGAAACATTGGTAGGCAAAGATTTCTTAAATAAGACCCCCAAAGAACAGGCAGTAATCCCAAAAATAAACAAGTGGGATAACATCAGATTAAGAAATTTCTGCACAGCAAAAGAAACAATAATTAGTATAAATCAACAACCTTCAGAATGGGAGAACATATTCGTAAACTATGCCTCTGATAAGGGACTGATAAACAGAATATACAGGAAACTCACACGGTTTACCAGAAAAAAAAGTGAGCAACCCAATTAAAAGTTGGACAAATGAGCTAAACTAACAAATCTCCAAGGAAGACATATGAACAGTCAAAAAGCATACGAAGAAATGGACTGATTTTTGAAGTAGATTTAAGGCCTTCTATTTAAGTGTTGATATATTGCCTATGCCCTGCTTATTCTTTCTTGTATAAACTACATACTATATTCATAATGTCTGAGCTATAACTTTAGGTTTCACTTTTTTAAGTGAACCAATAATTTAATGCATTTGCAAAATAATATGATCATCATTTTTCAAAGATTAAAACAAATTTCTTTCACAGTCTTTGTTTCACTCACATCAACTGGATAGACATGTCTTAGCCTGCAGTCTTTATCAAGTCTTTCTGAAACATCCAATTCATATTTCACAGAAACAATTTTCTACCTCTTTGTACTTTATTTTATCACCTTATATAAACGTTAAACTACAGAATCACGATAACAAAAGTCAGTTATATAAAATCATGTTTGGAAATAAACAAGACTAATCCTGGCAATGTTTTGTTTGTTTGTTTGGTTTTGCCATAAAGCATATACATTTGCTAGAGAAACACAGTAAGAGGGAAAGTGAGAAATCACCCCCAACCCAGGGTGGTGGGCCATACAATAATCCCTTTTTCTCCAGTCTTCTGTCAGGATTTTATGGGGGCACGCATGTACACATTCCTGGCACATTCTTCAAATCACTGGGTTCAGGACTCAAGCCATGGAGTTGGCCGTGGGGGGCGCCGGCCAGGCCGTTCCCGGCGCGCGGCTGCGCTGGGGGGGGCTAGACTTCCTCTTTTCATGGGTTTACTCCAAGGCTCTGGATAGGCACTAACAATCTTTCATTAACAGTTAATTCATTGTTTAGTTTATGAAAAAAATCAGAGAGAAAAGTCAGTTGAGTTAGACCAGCAACTATACAGGAAGAATATCAAATCATAATCCAAGTCATTTTTCCAGTCTTATTTAGACGTTGGTTTAACTGCAAGACCAAATATGTGCTAGAGTATCATGTTTGAATTTTTACTTTGTTATTTACAACTTCCAATAAAGGAAGAAGATATATACTCATTTACATTTGTTATTATCTCTTTATTTTGTTATTTATTCATATATTTATGACTTTTTACTTTGCTGGAGGGTGTATGCATTTGCCAGAGATAGAGTAAGCACCCCTTAATGGGGTGTGATGTGTGCCATGAACCACACTTCCCAAACCTTCACTCGCGCCAGTACCAGCCTTCCCCTGAACTATGAGATGCTCAGGGAAGAGCATGAGGTGCATGTGCCCGGGGAGCTCTCGCCCGTGTCTCCGATGGGACCAACCGTGATCAACATCCACAGCAAGACCTCGGTGCCCGGCCACGTGGTCTGGTCCCTGTTCAACATGGTTTTCATGAACTTCTGGTGCCTGGGCTTCATCGCGTTCGCCTACTCCGTGAAGTCTATGGACAGGAAGATTGTGGGCGACGTGATCCCGGCTCAGGCCTACGCCTCCACCGCCAAGTGCCTGAACATCTGCACCCTGGTCCTTGACATCCTAATGGTCACTGCCATCATCATTTGTTTCCTTATCGAACCAGCAATAATCCACCAAATGGTTTCAGAGATGAAAAAATATTTCGAGGGCTTCCAGTAGCTGCTTATGGTCCCTGCCAAGCCCTGATGGCCTGTGACTGGCTGTGGCCGTGGCCTCCCCTCCACACTCCTGCACTCTCTACTGCCCCACATCCTGCTCTGTTTACATGGTAGGGTTACACTCCTGTGTTTGTCTACAATGGGATTCAATAAAGTGCATGTGTGGGTGAAACAAACAAACAAACAAAAACAAAAACAAAAAACAGCATTGTATTGGCACAAAAACAGACAAGTGGACCAATGGAACAGAATAGAGAAATAAACCTCAAAACATACAGCCAACTGATTTTTGGCAAAGGATACCTGTCAATCCAGTGAGAAAATGAAAATCTCTTTAGAAAATGGTGCTGGTAAAACTGGGTATCCACCTGCAGAAAGATAAGCCTGGACCCCTATCTCTCACCATTAACAAAAATAAACTCAAAGTGCATCAAATATCTAAACCTAAGACCTCAAACTATAAAACTACTAGTGGAAAACACTGGGAAACATTGGTAGGCAAAGATTTCTTAAATAAGACCCCCAAAGAACAGGCAGTAATCCCAAAAATAAACAAGTGGGATAACATCAGATTAAGAAATTTCTGCACAGCAAAAGACACAGTATTCAGTGTGAATTAACAACCCTTGGAAATGGAGGAATATTTTTTGTAAACTATGCCTCAGATAAGGGACTGATAGCTAGAACCCACAAGGAACTCAAGTGGCTTACCTGGAAAAAAAAAAAAAAGATTAACCCAATTAAAAGATAATAAAATGAGTAGAACAAACAATTCACTAAGGAAAACATACAAACAGCCAAAAAGCATATGAAAAATGCTTAAGAATCCTCATAATAAGGGAGTGCAGATCAAAACCACAATGAGATACCTCCTAACCCCAGTCAAAATGGTGAAGATTGAAAAACAAAAATGGGGACCACCAAATGCCATAATGGTTATGTTGTTGTACTCCCACATACTTGACCATGGTTCAAGTCCTGGACCCATTGGCTTAAAACTCATGTCAAGCGCATATGTTTGCATACCCAAAATCTTGAGAGGAGACTGGTGGAGAAGGTATTGTGGTGTGGCCATCCCCCAAGGGGGGGTAACACCTCACTTTCTGTCTGTCTTTCCAGTGAGCACACACACCCTATAGCAAAACAAAAAACAAACAACAAAAAAACTTTCTTAAAAAGGAAAACAAAAATCATAGTAGTAATAAGTGCTGGCAGGGCTGTAGTGGAAAGGGAACTCTTCTTCACTGTTGGTGGGAATGTAAATTGGTCCAGCCACTGTGGAGAACAATATGGAGGTTCCTCAAAGATCTACAAATAGAGCTATCATATGATTCAGAAATTCCACTTCTGGGTATCTACCCAAAGAATGGTAGAATGCTTAGTCAGAAAAGTGCTTGCACCTATGTGTTTATTGTGGCATTATTCACAATTTCTAAGACATGGAACTAACCCAAATGTCCACAAACAGATGAATGGATTGAGGAAGTGTGGCACATATACTCTACAGAATACTATATAGCCCCCCAAAAAACAAAAACAAAAACAAAAACAAAAACAAAAACACAAGATCCTAGCATTTTATAGTAAGTGGACAAATATGGAAGATTTACTTCTGAGTGAAGCAAGCCTGACTATGAAAGAGAGACATTGCTTGACTCCAGTTAGTATTGCTGATTGTCTGTACTATATGGTAGAAACCGAAAGATTAGAGGATATAGAAGCACTATATATTAAGAAGCACTATATATAGAAGCACTATATTAACTATTAAGAAGTACTGAAGGCTGACTCTGTGATGTGGGAGTGATGTGCTACTCAGGGAGAGGCTGAATTCCAAACAGTAAGCATGGTTCAAATCCCTGACTGGTTAACCTTAAGCACACCAGACACATACACGAGTGCCCAGGATCCAATGGACTAAAGGAAGGAGATTGTGGTGTGTGTGACTAGACCCTTTGGAGGGTATCTCCCTCCCAAAAGGAAGAGAAGATATTTTAGACATATGCTCTATAACGAGAAAGGGAAAAAAAAATAAAGAAATGCTAAAAAAGTGGGGAAAAAAAAGAAAATGTTTTAGACTGGAGGCTCCACACTTTTTATCTCTAGTGGTTTATTTTTTTATGATTGCTAGTTGCAAACCTGCTTTTTTTTTTTTGAGAGGTTTTTGCTATAGGGCGTGTTCGCTTACCAGAAAAACAGAGAGAGACAGAGACAGAAAGCAAGAGATCACCCCCCAGGAGGTTGGCCATGCCACAATCCCTTCTCCATTTCTTCTTGGGATCTTGGGCATACATGCACACACACCCGGCAAGAGTTTAAGCCACTGGGTCCAGGACTCAAACCGCGGTTGAGTAAATGGGTGTCTCACAACATAGCCATTTTGCCATATGCTGTTCCCACAAACCTGTTTATAATTGTCTTTATTTTTTGTCTTGTAACTCAACTAGGACTCTGAAAGCATCAATAGAAGCTAGAATTTTCTCCTTCTCTCACCACAATATGAAGGAAATTTAAAAGAGAGAAAAATGTGTTTAGACCGATACCAAAAATAGTAATTAGAAATTTAATTTATTTTTGCATATAAATATGCATATGTTTTTTCCATAGGATGCAAGTGCTTGCCAAAGAAAGACAGAAAAAGACATAAATGGAAAGTAAGAAATCACCCTCCAAGGGGGATGGCCATGTAGCAATCTCTTCTCCCCATTCTCCTCTCAGGATTTTGGCCATGCATCCTCTCGTGCCTGGTGTCTTTCGAGCAACAAGTCTGGGACTCCAATCACAGAGCTGGCCACGTGAGATCCAGGACCTCAACCACAATGCCACCTGCTGGCCCTATCATTATGTATCATTTAATTTTTTTCTTCTTGTCAGATTATAATTATATTGGTTGTCCTTTAGTGAGGAAAACAGAAACCGCTGGGTATAATAGATTTAATTCTGTACAAGACATATAGGAACAGGCATCGGGGGCACTTCTGGGGCTGTGGGACTCCAGAGCAGACCCAGTAGTGTGATCAAACATCCAAAGCCTTGATTTCACTGTCATGCCTCAATTCTCTCAACACTCTTGAAGTTGCTGAAGAGTCACTGCAACACAGGTCTGGATACCACATCAAGTTTTCCCTTGCATCTCATCATCCTATTCATCGACAACAATTAGATTACTGTCTTTTGTCTTATCCTGCCTACTAAAGCTTCTGCTGGTACCTCTAATTGATGGAACCTAATTTGTATATTAAAATTTGGCTAAAAAATTATCTGTAGATTTTTAAAATATTTATATTTAGTTATATATCTATAATTACAATGTATGATATTGCTTTTTCCAGTATGAATACTGTTCATAGCAGTCAAGATAAAGACATTACCATATATATTATAATCAGCAAATAACTTTTCATTTAGTGTCAATTAAATGTATTTTTCCTTTTTCCCCCCTCTCCCTCCCTCTGTTACTCATCCTCATATTACCCCTGTCCTTACAATCTTCAGTATCTACATTGCCCTCCCTGCTACTATACTTTCCAAACTTTCAGTTTCTATTATAGAGCACAGATATTCAGTATATATTGATTGAAGACATACAAAGTCTTTCATAGTCTGACTTACTCTACTTAGTGTTAAGTCTTTCTATTTGTCCTCTTGGTATCAAATGTCAGGGTCTCATTGTTTTTTTATGGCTGAGTAGTATTCCATAGATTACACATGTCAAATTTTTTCAATCCACTCATTTGAATATTTAAAGATTTTATGCAACAGAAAACATACTAAAGGAGGTTGAATTGGAGGTTGAATGAAGTAATTAATAATAGCCATCAGATTGTTAATTTTTCATTATTATAATTTTATTGTAAAGTGAAGGTAAGAAAAATACACAAAAATGTTCAGCCAAATGAAATACTCTAAGACAAACACCACTGTAACCATATTTAAGATCACAAAATAGAACTTCCCCAGCTGCCTCTGAAGCCCTCACATTTGCCAATCTCAATCAAGACTC